CGTTCGATTAGGAAAGAAAACAAGCGAAGGAATAAGAACAAAAGAAAATGGAAAAGAAAAGAAAAGAAACGAAAAAATCAATAATGCTGTGTGTGTGTTTGCTTGCTTGCTTTGGTAGCCATGATGGAAAAGAAAAGAAAAGAAAATCGTGGCAAAAGAAAAAAATATTTAAAAAAAACAAAAGGGAAAATGAAGATGAAAACAAAAAAAAAAAAAAAAAACATGAATAAATAAAGAGGATTAAAGAGAATATGAAAAACATAAAATGACTTTTTAGAGATTTATAAGATAAAACCTCCTCTCCTCTCCTCCGTTTCTCCTCTTCCGTTTTTTTTATCTTTGAAAATATTACTCCGATAGGTTTTTCTTTTTTTTTTTTTTTTGTATTATAATTTGTGTAATATGACTATAAATTTTTAAATTTTCTTTTCTTTTCTTTCTTTTTTTTTTTTTTTTAATTTACTAAAATAAACGACGGAAACATTCGATTGAAAACGAAGTGGAAACGTTAAGGAGAGAAAGAGAGAGAGAGAGAGAGAAACCGTATAAGTAGTATGGATTATTTACAAGATAAATAAAATTTTATCTTAGCCACGTATTTTGGGTACGATTGTTGGAAATTGATATTTAAGCAAATAAAGGTAAAGTCAAAAACGTGGCCGCCGCCACCCCCCTTTCCCCCTCGGGAAAAAGAAAATGGGGAGAGGAAAAAAATAATAATAGTAAAATAAATAAGGTAACCTTCGTGATCACGCACACACAAACGTAAACAATAACACACGGTTTGTTTCGGTGGTATTAGTCTTCTTTATCGTAAATTGATTTATTTATCAATCACATTTTACGTGTTGATGCCGATCTTTTAATGTTTTTTTTTCTCCTTGCTTTCCTTTTTTTTTTTATTATCAATGCAACGTCTTTTTTCTTTTTTTATCTCTTCTCTCTCTCGCTCTCACTTTTACTTTAACGTCATCATGAAAACGATAAGTGTGTGGTACATATACACCACTGATCAGCTTACAGCCTTTTTTTTCTTTAAAAGCGATGTTAACACTTGTAAAAAAAATTGTTAAGAGAAAAAAAAAAAGAAAGAAAAGAAAAATCCTTTCCTTTTTTTCTTTCTTTTCCTTCCTCTTTTCTTTAGGATTGGAAAAAGATGAAAAGAGTATAAAAAATGAAAAAAAAAGAAAATCTGGTAAAAGAAAAAAATTCTTCAAGATGGAAGAAAAGAGGTATTATATATCTCCCAGACAGAGATTTCTCCATTCCATTTAGCTTCGATTAAGTGCTTTCTTTCAAAAATGGCGATGATAAAAAATGAGCCTGAAAAAAACATAACAATAGAATCGAAGCACACAATAAAAAAAGAAAAAAAAAGTATATAAGAAAAGAAAGGAAAAAGAATGGAATGAAAGAAGAAGGTAGAAAATAAGAGAAAAAAAAAGTAGACGAAGAAGAAAAAGAAGAAAAAGGAAACTCCTGGAAAACAAGTCTAACAAAAAGCTAAAATTCGCCATTTATTTCTCGAGTTATTGCTTGCTTGATAGCGTGTGTATGTTTTATCAGTTATGCTTTTCCCCCCTCCCCTCCCCTCTCTAAACTCTCCACTTCCATTATTTTCATTCATACGCATTTTTTTTATTTATTTATTTTGACTTTTTTTTTTCTTTCCCGTTTTCGTTTTCGTTTAAGCAAAAATATGCGTTCGAAATGGGAAAGGGAAGAGAATAATATCATAACTCGCAAGACGATGAAATAATATATAAAAAAAGAAAAAAAAAAAGGAAAATCAACGGAATTATTCTCGAACCTTTGAATCTGTTAAAATTTTATTATTAATTTAAATTTTTTTTTTTTTTTTTTTCGTGTAACATCGCAAATGACAAAACTTACATTAATAATATATATTGAATTTCCTTGTATTACTTTTTAAGCTTTAAAAGGTTTTTTTCTCTCTCTCTCTCTTCCTTTTTCCTTCTCTTCTTCTCCCGACCCGATTCTTTCTTCCTTCCTTCCTTCCTCTTTTCCTTTTTTTTTTTTTAAACATTTTTCCCGGTGCCTTTTTCAGTTTTTTTTTAGGAGGCGTCATCGTTTCGTTTTATCTCATAATAAATATTACTTAATTATTTAGCGTAATTATGTTACTTTACGTAATTATTTTGAGTTATTTTCAAAATCTTCTTATTCCGTATCTTTTATTCCGTGATGGAGTTTTATTTTTTTTTACTTTATAATTTTAATTTTTTTTTCTCTTTCTTTCTTTCTTTCTGTCTTTTTTTATTTTTATTTTTTTTTTTTATCAAGGGGTAAGTTTGTAAGGAAAGGGCGAAGAAGGGGAGGAGTTTGTTGAGGTGGGGAAAAAAATTATCGTCGCGTCGCGTCGGAAAATTCGGTTGAAATTGCTGAAAATACGAAATTATTATTATTGTTGGTATTATTATTATTATTATTTTTTTTTTTTTTCGAAAAAGTCGAATGGATTGAATCGAGGGAGACGATACGAAAAAAAAAAATGTTTAATTTTACGATACGGACGAGATTTTGGCGCCGTAAAACTACAAAAAAAAAGAAAAAGAAAAACACGAGTAAAAGAATAATTCAAAGAGAAAATGGCGGATGAGGGGGTTAGGATAGAGAATATGAAAGAAAAAAAATTTTTTTTTTGGTTTTCTTATTCGAATTTAAAGAAATTGTTTGTGGGAAATTCGTCGCCGAATGTCAAAGGGATTAATTACACGTTTTTTTTTTTTGATTTTATTAATTATTATTTACGATGAGTATTTTAATATAAGAAGACCTTCGAAGCGTGGGAATGTCAATTTTTCAACATATTTTCTAATGATCTGTTGTTTTTTTTTTTTTTTTTTTTTTCAATAAACTTGTTGTATAAAGTTTGCAACTTGACAGTTATATTATTCGCGGTTTTTAGACGAGGGTTGTCGGCGGCGTCGCGCCGCGGACTTTATGTTGGGGTTGACGCAATGACGTCGACGATTGTGAAAAAGCAGAAAGAAAATTGTTTGTGTTTACTCGCGGAAACCCGTTTCTACAATTGAGAACTTAATTGCGGTTTAATAAAGTCGCGGTGATTTTAATTAAATTTTAATGTTTATTATAACTTTAACTTTAAAAAAAAAAAAAAAAATTAAACTTATTCTATTAATTAGTTAAAAATTCATTTTCTTTCTGGTTAAATTAAAAAAAAAAAAAAAATTATTTTCTTAAAATGAACTGGAGCAAATGAGAAATTGTTCATTTCGGGGAAGAGGAGGAGGGAGGGAGGGAGGGACGGAAGGGTTGGGTGAGTGGATTTTCTTATTCGTTTCTTCTTATTTTATTTTATTTGGCCTCTTTTTCCCTTCCTCCTTCCATCATCAGCCTCCCCCTGGAGCAAAAGTCAAAACTTTTCTTTTTTTTTTTCCTCCTGACTTTTCTTTTACTCTTTTTAATAATTTTTCATTATTATTATTATTATTAGGTTTTTTTTTGTTCGTTTTTATTTCAATTCTAAGAATAAAAAGAATGAGGAAAAAAAAGTTTTTAAAAAGAAAAAATTTTCTTTTTTAAGTTTTAAGCATAAAAATTATTTTTATTAGACTTTTTAGACAGCTTTGTTTCCTTTAAAATCCGGTTTAGTCAAAAAAATAAAATAAAATAAACGAGAGCTTGAAAGTTTATGATATTTAATCCGATGGGTTTGCGGTTGGCAATGTTCCTTTTCTGTGGCTTGTTTTTTTTTTTAGCAAAAAAAAAAAATTTTAAAAAGGAAAAAAGGGAAAAATGGAAAAAAAAGTAATAATGTTAATGAGTATGGTTGATGATTTAATTACTGAAATATTTAAAATCGTGTCCGGAAAAGCGAAAACAAAAATGAAATTTTTTTTTCTTTTTTTCTTCTGGGGGTTCACGAATAACGCGCGTTCGTTCGCGCAATGTTTGTCGAAAAGTTTTTCTCTCTCTCTATCTCTCTCTTACTCGAAAGAAAAAAAAAATTTTTTTCTCTCGTCCGTCTGACGCCTCATACTGATAATAATGATTTTCTTAGTTTTGATGATCACGATTTTCACTTTTTTCCCTCCCTTTTTGTTTTTATAACTTTATTATATAAATTTTTGTTAATTAATAAATTTTTTACCCTTTGACCTTTTAAAAGGAAAGGTGGAAGAAAATTTTTTTTATCATCATTATTTCTTCTTTCATTTCCGTCGTTAAACGGAAAATGTTTCGAATTTGAAAACCGCGACGTGAGTTTTCTTTTCATTCTTTATTTCTTTATTTATTTTTGTTTTCTTTCTTTTTTTTCCGTTTTTTTTTTTGCTCGATATGCATGCTCGTTAGGGTTTTTTTCAAGGTTATGACATTGATAATAACGATAACGACGTGAGATTTTTTTATTTTTCAAAAAGAAAAAAAAAAGTTTTACATTAATTGATTTTCAATTTAATTTCAAGTTGTCTTGTTTTGACTTGTTTTTCTTTTTTTATCGTAACAATTTACTTGAATGAAATTTTCCTGCAGAAAGAGAGAGAGAGAAAGGTAGAGAGAAAAGGTGGATGTATCAGTGGAGAGAGAGAGAGAGAAAAACAATTCGAAGACTAAAGAATAATTTAATTACTTATTTGAACTTTTGTCTTATCGAATGCAAGTGATGAGGAGAAGAGAAAAAAAGGGGGGAGGGGGTTCGGAATTGAATGATGAAAAGTATTTTGGAAAAATTTTCAAACGGCCATTTTCCAAAAAAAAAAAAAAAAAGGAAATATTAATCTTAAAGGAAAATTGAAAACTTTTAAAAATACAGTGACGGTGACGTTAAATTTAAAAAAAAAAAAAAAATTTTTTTTTTTTACTTCAGAGCGATGACATTGAAGACAATAATAATAATAATAATAATACACAACTTGAAACGTCACGTTTGGTTGCGAATTACGAAGCGTTGAAGAAAACAAATTTACCATTATTATTATTATTATTTATTTATTTTTCTTTTTTTTTTCCCACAGGAATTTGGTTCACAATCTTTCATCGGTGGATTTAACGGAAACTCAGAGGCTTTCGTGGTTTTCACCTGAAAAAGATATCCACATGTGTGTCGTCAAAGGAAAAGATGAGGTAAAATTGTTTTTAGTTTTATTATCATTATCATCATCATCATCATCATTATTTTTCTTACAATTTTTAAAATGAGAAGTTTGACCGACGAAGCGTGAAATTTCTTCGACAATGTTTTCTCCCTCTCTCTCTCTCTCAGATAAAAACATTCCGAAAAAATTTTTTCGATTAAAACGAAAAACAATTTTTTTTTTTCTTAAGTTTTAAACCCTTTTTGAATGAATTCTTCCAAAAAATAATAATGAAGGAGGGGAAGGAGAAGGAAGGGAGGGGGTTCAAAACGTGTTTTTTCTTTTTTCTCGTTAAAATTTTTGAAAGAAAATCTCAACTCGTAATTGTCAAATCAAAGAGGATGGTGGGGAAAAATTAAAAGTTTTCTTTTTCGAAAGAACACAAAAAAAAAAAAAACGAAACAAAAAATTTGGGGAAAAGGATGAAAAATTTTCATTACTTAATAATAATAATGATAATTGACCAATTTTCACGACGAGAACATGAGATGAGAGATTTTTAACTTACACAAAAAAAAAAAAAGAAGAAGAAGAAAAAAAGGGTTAAAATTATCCGACAACATTTTACCCTGACCCGTCACGTATTTTTTTTTTTTGCTTGTACTACGTGTAAACTTTTACTTACGCTAAAATTGAATTCGCTATAAAATGACCACCTGACCCAAAAAAAAAAAAAAAAGAGAACGAATTTTTTTTTTTTTTTTATATTACTCGAAAACAAGCTTTGAATTTTACAGTTCGTTTGAAGAGCAATTTAACCGGGTGAAAAAAAAAAAGGTAAAACTTGGAAATAGTAATAATAATAATAATAATATTTTTTTCCATTCCGAAAAATCATATCCGGTTGAAAAAATACATTTGAAAGCGTAAAAAAAACGCTTCACTCCCCCTCCGTCCTCCCTCCCACCCGTTCTCGATATATATTATTAAATTCGTTTTTTTTTTTTCTTTCGGAAATCGGTGATATGCGTGTGCGTAAATGTACGAGTGCACGTGTGCACGTGTGCGTGCTTGCTTCCTACGTATACGTACGGATATGCGAGCGCGATAAGCCGGTGGGGAGGGGGGGAGTGTGGTGACTTCCGGCGTTGTTGTTTTTTTTTTTTCCGATCTGCATTTTTTCCCTCGTTTTTTTTTTCTTATACGAGAGCGCTATTCAGCGACATTTTCGTCGGAGAAGGAAAATTCACGTTTCCGGTAAAAGAAGGAGATGAAGGAAAATTCGGTAGGTCGTCGAGGAGTTAATTTTAATTTTTTTTTTATTTTTATTTTTTTCTTCCCTTTTTATGCGTGAGCTTTTTCTCGCGTGGTCATTGTAATTTGTTGTAGTTCATTAACAAAAGTGTAATGACCTAACAAATAAATACGGGATATTTTTAAATAAAAAAAGGGAGGGGGGGAGAAATTACGTAGGAGGGAATGTTGTGGGAAAGTGAGTGAGAGAGAGAGAGCGTGATAGAGGTTTTTTTTTAATGTTAAAAAAAGAACAATCGTTTTTATAAAAAAAAAAAAAAAAAAACAATAATAATAATTTTTTTTTCTTAATTTTTTTTTTTGTTTTCCGACGGTTATCATCATCATCATCATCATCATCATCATCATCATCATCATCATCATCATCATCATCATTAGTTTTGGTTGTTACGCTTTGGTTAAATTATTGGAGTTTGTCGTTTTCGAAAGTTAAATCGTTACGCACGCATTTATTTTCTTTTATTGAATTAATTGACGTCGTCGTCGTTTTTTTTTAAAATTTTCCCGATTACTCGAACGATTAAAATTTTCAATTTTCGTTAGTCGATTTTCTTTTCTTTTTTTTTTTTTTTTTTTAGTCCTTCGCGAAAAGGACAAAACAAAGTGGAAAAGTTTTGAAAATCTTTGATCACGACTCGCGCGGCGCGACAATATGACTTTTAATTGGTTTAAAGTTTACGAAAGCGTAACCGCCGTCTTAAAACGAAAGTTTGTAGTTTGTTGTTTGTTGTTGTTGTCGTTGCCGTGTTTGTTTTTTTGACGATATCCTCGTTTAAGAAAAAACTTTATTTTATGATTTTGCATTTTATATTCCGAAATAATTAACGGAAGTAATTAAAAAAAAGTGCAAAAAAAATGCACGAGGAGTGTGTTTGTGTAACAACTTTCATGCGGAATTGTTTTTTTTTTTTTTGTTTGTTTGTTTAAAAACGACGCGATGCGACAAAAATTTATTATTATTATTATTTTTTATTAATTTTCTCCAGCGTTGTCGTCGTCGTCGTCGTTGCGAGAAACAAAAAAAAAAAAAAAATATTAATAATAAAATGATGTCTCTCGTCGGCGTGACATTTTTATTATTTTCCATTTGCAAAAGAAAAAATTTAATTTTTTCGATTTTTTTTTTTTCCCTCCTATCCCGTAATTGAAAATTAATCATTTTTTAATGTCAAATGCCGATAGCCAAATAATATGGTGGTTTCATAAAGGCGGAAATGATTTTGAGGGAAAGAGAGAGAGAGAAGGAGGAGGAGGAGGAAAAAAGAAGGCAAAGCTCAGCTTATTTTTTTTTTTTTTTTTAATACTGAATTAAAGGAAATGAAAAAGGTTTGAATAGAAATTTTCTTTTTTTTCCGATTCGGTCATACATACGAAATATTAAAACTCGAGTCATTGTTATTTTATATAATTTTCCCAAAAAAAAAAAAAAAAGGAAAAAAAGGGAAAAAGGTTTAATTAAGGGTTTGATTAATGGGGGTTTTCCCTCCCTTCCTCCCTCTCCCCCACTCCGTTGGCTTACATAACATCTTACCAGTTATTTCTATTCAAATTCCACCGCCACATGATATTTATTATTACGAGATTTCTTTTTTTTTTTTTTTTTTTCATCTTGTAATTTTTTTTTCTTTTTTTTTTCTTCCAAGAATTTTTTTTTTTTTGAAAACTTTTTTTGTTCCCCTCTTTTGCTTCTTCTCCCCTCCCCTCATGTTCACTCCTCCCCCTTAAAAAAAAAAAAAAATTCATATTTAACTTGTTTTTAATTCATGCTTAAAATTTTTTTTAAGGGTTGCAAAAAAAAAAAAAAAAATTTTTTTTCTCCCTCTTCCCCTCCCTCCTCATTTTTCTCAACCGAAAAAAATTCCATTTGAATTTTTTCTATTTTTTTTTATTTTTATTATTATTATCTTATCATTATTATTATTATTATTATTATTATTATTATTATTATTATTATTATTATTATTATTATTATTATTATTATTATTATTATCCCCCCAAAAAAAAAAAAAAACGTCGGTTGATTTTATTTTTAACGGTTTTTTACGACCGCAAATATTTTTTAATATCGGAAAATAATAATAATAATAATTACAAAAAAATTTCAAAGGAATATATGTTATGTATATACATTTAGATGTAATTTATTTGTTATGCGGAAGGAGGGGAGGAGAGGATAGGAGAGGGGGAAGGAATTTATAATTTTTGGCGTTTGACACTTTTCCAAAAAAAAGAAAAAAATGTATTTGTCATATTTTTTTTTTTTTTGGAAAATTTTAATTTGCGATCGGATCGTTTCATTCATTCATTCATTATTCTTTGCGAAATTTATTTTTATTCGATTTGTTATTTATTACTTGATTATTTGCCTCTTCGGTGTGGGAATCCTGTGTCCAACGAACGGCTGAACAGTTTCGTTCGTGCTGAACGCGCACCCACCGATCGCCGTCTTTAAATAACCGAGATCGGTGTTTGAATGGGTGACCGCTTGAGAATTTCACAATCCGTTGATTTTGGTGTGTGGGAACAATACAAAGAAGATGAAAACCAAAACTGTCCTTGTCCTGTTGTCTACCTGAGACAGCTCGACGAGGATGTGACTCCTCCTGATCCTGGCCAGGTAGTTTGAACCCATCGAAGAAGATGGATTCGATAAAACTCACTAGAATCAGCTTGATGATACGAAAATTCATTTAGGTTACAAAACCTTCAAACCCACATATTAAAACGTTTATTACTTTCAAAGGAATCGAATAAAAGGTCCGGAAAATTTGATGACGTCAAATTTGTCGTGGTTTTAAAATTAAAAAAAAAAAGAAAAAACTAAATAAATAGGCGTGTGTGTGTGGAGTATTTAAAATGATAGAAATTTTCTTTTTTAACCGTCGACGAGTGGTTTAGAAAAAAAATTTTTTTTAATGAGTAAGCGTATGATGAAATTAAATTTTCCGATTTGAAAATGTAAGCAAAAGGGAAAATTTTTTTTTTTAATTTCCAGAATTTTCCAGAAAAAAATAAAAATAAAAAATAAAATAAAAATGAATTCGTTTAAAATCAATAATTGCCGGAAGTGTTTCGTTGCGTCGACGTGTTTCGTGCGTGTGTGTGTGTTTGTCTGTGTCGTCTGAAGTGGTTTTTGTTTGTCGAATTTTTTTTTTTTTTTGTCTATTTCAAATACGTGCGTGTATTTATTTGTTTGTTTGTTTGTTTGTTTTCCTTTGCGATAATTATTAATGTTATTGATTAAACGACATCCGGGCAACCCTTTTGATTTTTTTTTTAGAAGTAGTGGAAAAAAAATTAAGACGAAGGGATAAAAGAGAAGATAGTTGTAGTAGTGGTGGTAGAAGGGGTGAGGGGTAGTCCTTTAGGAAAAAGTATATGATGGAATAAAAAGGAAAAGTAATAAGGTGGGGCGGGGGGAAAATGGAAAACTGTAAAAAAGAAAAAAGTTCTTATACAACTTTTCAGATTCAATTAATTTTTATCGCTTTCGGCATTTAAGTCTTTCTTCTAATTTCAAAAAAGTTTTTAAAGGTATCAAAAGGCTTAACTGTTGCCTTTTGTCGACTATTAAAAATATAAAGGCGAACAGTAATAATAATAATAATAATAATAGTGGCAGTAGTAATTATATAAAGAAAAGGAAAGGAAAATATATATAAATATATATTAAAAATATTAAATTGCATATATATAAGAGAAAAGTAAAATCTTGAAAGTTGTCCGGGGAAAGGG